GCATCTGACTTCCTGACTGCAGTACTGCAAACCCCATGAGGAGTGTGGTTTCTCTTGTTCATCACTGGGCGACCACACCTGGCACAGCACCTGCACCAAGTGAGCGCTCCATGGGCATGCATGAATGAGTGAATGCGGCAAAGAGCTATCGATGGAGTCTGGACTTGGGCGAGAAGTCATGGCTAGACACAGGCTGGACACACTGAAGACAAACAAAGCTATGACATAGGGTGAGACCACTGAGGGAGAGGGAAGGACAGTTAGACAGTCCCTTGGGAATGCTTGCATTTAGAGAGTGGAAGAAATGAGAGGCTTGAGCAGGAGGGGGCAGCAAGGGTGCAGGTGCCTAGCAGGAGACCTCACTGCACTCCATCCTGGGCAACAGAGTGAGACTCTGTCTCCAAAAAAAAGTTAAAAATTGGTCAAGGAGCTCTTAATTGAAAAACTGTAAAGTCTCGCGCACAGTAAACTGTGTTTTTACACTACTGCCACAAGGGGGCACCATCGAGGCTGATAAACCAGGAAGTGGGTCACGTTCAGTTCTCCAAATATGCTATGTGTTTTTCTGGCTTATTCATAGAGTTGACAGGAATTGGAATAGGTTCTAAAGTTGTTTTGTAGCTTCCTGTGCAGTTTTAGCTGACCAGTGTTCATTTTGTCTTCATAATACCATTTTATGAAACACTCAGTTTGTCCTAGGGTGTGGCTGTTGTAGAGGGTGGGGATGGCGGCAGGAGGGCTAGGGGGTTGGGGGTGGGAGAGGGGGATGAAGGAGCAGAGAGCTGACGGACATTTTCAGCATAATCAATCCTTCTTTTTTTGGTGTTTTTTGTTTTTGAGACGCAGTCTCGCTCTGTTGCTCAGGCTGGAGTGCAGTGGCACGATCTCACTCGTCACCACGCCCAGCTAATTTTTGTATTTTTAGTAGAGACAGGGTTTCGCCATGTTGGCCAGGCTGGCCTCGAACTCCTGGCCTCAAGTGATTTGCTGGGCTTGGCCTCCCAAAGTCCTGGGATTACAGGCGTGAGCCACTGCGCCGGCTTTCTGGAGCCTTTTCACTTCTGGGTGTGACTCTCTCCGCTCGAAATGCTTGGCTTCAGACAGCACCTCCTCTATATAAGAAGCCTTCCTGGCCCCCTTGGCTGAGGATGGGAGTGGGGAAGAGTTCCCAGTCCTCAGAGATCCTGTAGCTCTTTGGGTCCCTTTCTGTCCTGTGTAAGGCTGTGTGCTGGTCTTACAGCCACATATCAGGCAGTCAGCAACCTGAGTGCAGGGGGTCTGCCTGACGTGCCCCATGGTGTACTACAGATACCGAGCGCTCAACCATCTCTGTAAGATGAGCATTTATTTATTTATTTCAGCTCCCACTCCACTGGGAAAATGAGTTGATAAATTGTGAATGTACAGGTCCAGCTGGTGGGAGGAGGGGTACACAGCGAGTCCTGGGTTCTAGATGAGGCTCCACAACTTACCTTGGGAATGTCCACATCACATTGTTTTCTTTTTTCGAGACAGTGTCTATCTCTGTCACCCAGGTTGGAGTGCAGTGGTGTGATCCTGCTCACTGCAACCTCCGCCTCCTGGACTCAAGTCATTTTCCCACCTTGGCCTCCTAAGTAGCTGGGACCATAGGCATGCAACACCATGCCTGGCTAATTTTTGTAGTTTTTGTAGAGACAGGGTTTAGTCATGTTGCCCAGGCTGGTCTTGAACTCCTGGACTCAAGCAATCCGCCTGCCTTGGCCTCCCAAAGTGCTGGGATTACAGGCATGAGCCACCGCACCTGGCCATTAAAACTTCTTTTTTTTTTTTTGGAGACTGAGTCTCGCTCTGTTTGCCCAGGCTGGAGTGCAGTGGCACGATCTCGGTTCACTGCAACCTCTGCCTCCTGGGTTCAAGCCATTCTCCTGCCTCAGCCTCCCACCTGGGGCTACAGGTGCAAGCCGCCATGACTGGCTAATTTTTTTGTATTTTAGTAGAGACAGGGTTTCAGCATTGTTGCCCAGGCTGGTCTTGAACTCCTGAGCTCAGGAAATCCGCCTGCCTTGGCCTCCCAAAGTCCTAGGATTACAGATGTGAGCCACCGCGCCTGGCCCATCATGCCTTCTTAATTATACTTTTCTTCATTCAGCCTGAGATAGGTTACATTAGTTGGATAATGGTGCTCACCAACTTTCTCAGTTCTATGTTCACAGATATTTGTTTCACTTGGCTCCACAGAGCTGATTTAATAGATGTTGATGGTTTAACTTGGAATAATTCCATCCTAGAGAACTGGAGGTCCTTCAAAAGCATGAGATGGAACAGCCTAGCACAGAACCTGGCCATGTTCACAACCTATAGCATAGAAGGAATTCTCTTCTCTTGCTGTTTCATCCTGTAGTATTTTGTGTGTATGGCCTCTAGCGTTGCTCTAGAAGTTCCTCCAAGAAAAGCCTTTCTACCTTACAGTCGAATCTTACTGATTTAAAAGTATCACCCAGCCAGGCACGGTGCTCACGCCTGTAATCCCAGCACTTTGGGAGGCCGAGGCAGGTGGATCGCAAGGTCAGGAGATTGAGACCATCCTGGCCAACATGGTGAAACCCCATCTCTACTAAAAATACAAAAACTAGTCGGGCGTGGTGGTGCGTGCCTGTAGTCCCAGCTACTCGGGAGGCTGAGGCAGAATTGCTTGAACCCGGGAGGCAGAAATTGTAGTGAGCCGAGACCGCGCCATTGCACTCCAGCCTGGGCAACAGAGCAAGGCTCCATCTCAAAAAAAAAAAAAAAAAAAAAAAAAATCACTCAAATATTTCAAACAATGCCACTGTATTTGGAGTCTTGGAGCCAAGTGCTAAAGTATTTTGTGTTCATGAAACAGATCGGTTTCGTAGGACCTTCAACACAACAAGCTCCTGATGCTGGGGTTAGAATCATTGCTGTGGTTTCAATGTTCCCACCAAAACCCATGTTGAAATTTAATTGCCAATAGAACAGTTATTGGGAGGTGGGGTGCTTTTTTTATTGGAGATTCTGTCACCCAGGCTGGAGTACAGTGGCATGATCACAGCTCACTACAGCCCTGGTTTCCTGGGCACCAGTGACTGTCCTTCCCCCTGCCTCAGCCTCCTAAGTAGCTGGGACTACAGGTGTGTGCCATCATGCCTGGCTAGTTTTTGTATTGTTTGTAGAGACAGGAGTTGTGCCATGTTGCCCAGGTTGGTCTCAAGGATTCACTCGCCTCAGTCTCCTTAAGTGCTGGGATTACAGGTGTGAGCCACTACGGCTGGCCGAGGTGGAGCTTTTAAAGGTATTAGGTCCTGGGCCTCTGCCCTCATGAATGAAGTGGGTTCTCAAGAGTATAGGTTTGGCCCCCATTTGCTGTCCAGCCCTTCCACCATGTTATGATGCAGCAAGAAGGCCCTCACCAGATGCCAGTGCCATGCCTTTCGACTTCTGTGAGCCAAATGAATCTCTATCAATTATTCAGTCTGTGGTATTCTAAAACAGTCCCTTCCTAGTTTTAGGGCAGTTACCACTGGCTCCGCCTCTCACCAGCCCTCCTCCACACCTGACCTGGTTCTATGCTCTTTCCCGACCTGGGCTCTAACCTAATTCACTGCTTGTACCTTTATCTACAAAATAGGCTGGTAGCAAACTTAGTAGTCTTGTGTTACTCAATGACAGGGATGTGTTTTGAGAAATGCATCATTAGGCGATTTTGTGTTTTCTATGAACATCATCGTGTACTTATGCAACCTGGATGGCACAGCCTACTACATGCCTAGGTTATATGACATAGCCTGTTACTCCTAGGCCACAAACCTGTACAGCATGTTACTGTACTGAAATTATAGGCCAGGGGTGTCCTATCTTTTCACTTCCCTGGGCCACACTGGAAGAACTGTCTTGGGCCACAAATGAAATACAGCAACAATAGCTGATGAGGTTAAAAAAAAATAGTCGCCAAAATAAACCTCATGTTTTAGCAAAATGTATTAGTTTGTGTTGGGCCACATTCAAAGCCGTCCACACAAGCCTGCTGTAGGCCATTGTAATACAATGTTAATTATCTGTGTATTTGAACACACAAAAGGTACCGTAAAAATACAGTATTATAATCTTAACTGTAGCACGACTGTGAGGCTCATTGAATGACGCATCCTTAGGCAGTGCGTGACTGCATTCAGACATGTGTGGTGGGAGAACTTTGCCTTTTTAACTAAACTAACGGACCCAGGAACAGAACTTGGGTCTTTTAGTTGCCATTCATTGTCCTTCATGAGGGATGGCCTCCCAACACCTAACTTCAGCTCTCCAAATACTTCATTAAACCTTCTAATACTACAAACTCACTACCCAGAGTACACACATTGCTAGCGATTTGTGGACCTTAACCCACAGCATGACTGTCCTTTTTATAGCCCTTGCATTTACTCTCCACACTGCACCTCTAAACCAAGGCTGTTACTACTGAGGGGGCTCCTAGATTTCCAAGCAACCCACTCTCTAGGACACTGATTAACAAGACAGCATGACTCTGGCTGCTTGCAAAAACAGTTGACTGGCTGGGCGTGGTGGCTCATGCCTGTAATCCCAGCACTTTGGGAGGCCAAGGGAGGCAGATCACTTGAGGCCAGGTGTCTGAGTCCAGCCTGGCCACCATGGCTAAACTGTCTCTACTAAAAATACAAAAATTAGCTGGGCATGCTGCCTGTAATCCCAGCTATTACGGAGGCTGAGGCACGAGAATTCCTTGAACCTGAGAGGCGGAAGTTGTAGTGAGCTGAGATTGTGCCACTGCACTCTAACCTGGGCAACAAGGGCAAACCTCCGTCTCAAAAAACAAACGAACAAAAATACAGTTGACCACAGAGGGACAAGCTCATCAAGTTTTTCTTGGCCAAGTTCAGGCCCCTGTTGAGAAGCTGTGGGTGTGGACCAATCCTCCACTGGCCATTTCTATGGCTCCTTTATATGCACAAGATCGATTATATGTAAATAATCTGCAAGTCAGGTATTTCTGAAAACAAGTTTTATTTAAATAAGGGTTTAAATACATTACACATAACATTAAAACTGAAGGGGGAAAAAAACCAAAAACCAGTTTGTTACTTCACATGGCATTGGGCAGCTGCTGCTACTAAGTTGCAAGCTCTACAGCTAGCTACATGACTGATGGATCAGTTTGAGATTTGTTCCCTTGTCAAAAGTTTAACTCTGGTAGAAGGTTGGCCTCACATTCTGATGTTTGGACATCCCTTAGCTAGGATATGTCTGGTCAAACAGACCTTTGTGGCAAGCCAGATGTCCTATCACCTTGCTAGCGATAAGAGGGCCTCTCTGAGCTCTGTCCACCTGGTCAGGTTGGAGACACCAGGGGATCTACCACCAAAAGCTCCCTTCCAGTAGTACAGCTGGTGCTGCTGCCTTACCCCATCCTCTCCTCTCAGATTCACCGAGGACTGTTCAGGTGGTAACATTCTGTTAGGGCAAGGAACTCTGCAGAGGGAGAGCCGAGGAGGTTCCGGCCATAGTTGTTTGTGATCTTAGGGCTCTGGGCTTGGCTGAAACATGCCGGTATTGCTTGGTTTCAGGCTTGACACTGCCAGGCGCCTACTGCTTGACCTCTGTTTAAATGAGGGACTTCAAGACTAGACAGCATGGCTCTTTTCAGTTTATTGCATGAAGGAGTTACACTAGTCCAAGTTAAAAGCGGACCCCAAATGGTTACATTATACAAGCTGTGAGGTTTTTAAACTTGTGACAAGGGACAGAAGGGAAATTCTACTCATTGCAAGGAAATCCTCACTTAAGCTTCAGTGAGCCACAAGCACTTAAAACCCATGAACCTTCAGCTGATCGTCCTTAGCCAGTCCAATCTGAAAAGACAAAAGGGCAAAGTTTTAAACGGGGGACAGGGAGAGTTAAAGCCTCCATTTCTAATGTCATCAACCCTGTCTTCCTGCTACTACACTGCCCAAGAGCCAGGGGTGCACAGTGGTTCAACGGACCGTCCTCAGTTAAGAGCTACCTTTTTTGAACACTCAGTGCCTTCCAAGATTCTGAATTAGTGGGAGAATGAGACTCATCAGGTATCTGAAACCTCTTCAATTGTATCAAGAGCCGATAATGTAACAGTATTTTAGTATTAATACTCAAGAAATTCATTTTTAAAAACTCATGTCCTTACAAATACAGGAACAACCCAGCATTTGGCTTATTTTACAATGCATCTATGTGCTATTCAAATTTGCATCTGTAAAGCAGATCCACAGAAACAGTTAACCAAAGGTAGACAAGTCCCTTCTGCTTTTTTCTATAAAACAGAAGTCAACGTAATTTAAAATCCAACTGAGGTTCTGCTCAGCCTTACAAAGCCAACTTTTATGTCCCCAGCAGAAGCTAATACACAGGATCTGAGATCTGCCAGCAGAGGGGCACAAATCAAGAAGTGACTGAACTCACCTCTACGAGGAACTGGCATATGTTCTTGCGTTGGTCACCCTGTAGCTGAATTACTTCTCCATATTCTGGATGCTCAATTACAGTACCATTGCAGGCAAACTTCTGCAAGCACAAAGGAAACAAACCAAATTAGGCCTAGCAAGAGCATGAACGCATTTGTCACCCCTTCTGCTAACAATAAATACAACACAGCTAGCACCCCCTTGCAGACAAATTGATTAGGACTTTCCCGCAATCTCACTAAAGACCTACCTTCTTAAACGCCTTCACTAGTTTCTTTTTATCGTAATCATCAGCGATCCCTTGGACAGTAGTAAGGGTCTTCCTGCCGTTTCTCTGTTGAATTCTTATATGGATATAATCCTCAGTGCCAGCAGGAAGCAGGTCATCACCCTTACTTGCATCAGCAAAGGGGTCTGAAAATAAAGGTTAAGCTCGTTCAGAGCTGTCAAAGATCAGATACCACTGCCATGTCCCCGGCTCCCAGGTGTTTTGCGCGTGCAGAAAACACCACTGAAATCGTCAGGACTTGGGCCAGGCCGTATGTGTCCTTTGCTGGCTCTCCCCGAGCACGCCAGTCCGGGACGCCCGGCTTCCCCAGGCTCGGAGAACGCCCGGGCCTCCTGCCCTCCCTGGGAAGCCGATCACGTGTCGGGGGAGTCCGAGCTGGCAGGCGGTGCCCCACCCGGCTGATGCAACCCGCCGGAACCCGAGCTCCCGAGGCGGGGCTAAGCCTACCACCCCCATTGGTGCGCAAGCCTGCCACTTAGGGCTGGCACCGCCTTTCCCTCCGACTCCGTGACAACGGGTGGTGACGTAACGGACGTGACGCAAGGGTGACGGGAGGGGCGGGTGTGGCCCGAGGAGGTCCGGGAGCCATTAGTAAATGCGCCACCGAGACGCCGAGCCCGCCCAAGGGCTGACCTCCCGCCTGCTCCTTCCGGTCGCGCTCAGGGTCCGACCCCGGGGCCCAGGACTTGATCCCGCTGCCCTGCGACCCTGGACAAGTTTCCCCTGCCAGAGCTTACGAAGGCCCGGAGCGCTTGGCAGCTTCCCGAAACACGTCTCCGGGCCCGGAAGGCCCCGCTGCCCCACCCGAGCCCGCGACCTTTCCCATAGCTTACCGAAAGAGTGGAGGTTCTGGATAGCGGACATACGATACGATTCCTTTTCCTCGGTGGAAACGGCCTGCGGAAGGCGGCGGCGGCGGCGGCGGCGGGAGAAGGCGGGCAGGGGGGACGGAACGTCGGGAAGCGAGGGGGCTCGAGGGGGAGGCTGCTGAGTCCTCGGCGGCGGCTCAGTGACTGGGGCAGAGGGGCGGTGCCTGTGTTCACTTATATAGCCGCGCCTGTGACGCCAGCGTGCTGCCCTCACGTCCCAACCCCACCCACGGCGTCGTGCCCCAAGCACCCAGGCGGCGCAACTTCCAATTGGTTTGGGGGCGGGGACATAGGATGGCGCTTGCGCAGAAAGTCTGCGGTAGGAGGGCGTCCTCTTGACTCTAGGAGAGCTGGGAGGGGGAGGGAAAGCTTGGTCTGGCTCGGCGCCTGCGCAGTGCGGTTGGACGGTGTCCGCAAGCCGAGAAAACCGGCCGAGGTTTCGAGCTCGCCTACGCACTGTGTCGTTTGGTACGTTCCACCTTCTTGACCCTGTTGCATCCCTGCCTGCTCGAAAAGGGGTGTTTCATAGGGTAGATGAACACTCCTTAGAGAGGACGTAGATGCTGAGCCTCCCAAACACGACAAATCCCCGTTTTGTCAAACCCACCTACCTACCCACCCTACTACCCACTGAGTCACAGCGGGATTTAGGGCGGCAGTTTGATTAATCAGCATACAATAATATAATCAAAACGGTAACCGCATAATTTAGATTGCCATTTAGATTTATTCTAAAGTGGGTTAATCTGATCTAACATTTTCATTTAGATTAGATTAATCCATCCGAGGAAAAAGTGTGCCCAGCTCATTGGCATGAGTTCAAGGGATAGTAACTGGTTCTGGGCCCTCCCTGAGAATAATTCTGGCACCAGGGGGCGTCCTTCATGTCGCACAGCTTATGTGGAGTAGAGCCTTCCCAGAGTTTAGATGAAATATTTCCTTCAGGCCGGGCTCGGTGGCTCAAGCCTGTAATCCCAGCACTTTGGGAGGCCGAGACGGGCGGATCACGAGGTCAAGAGATCGAGACCATCCTGGATAATACGGTGAAACCCCGTCTCTACTAAAAAATACAAAAAAAACCTAGCCGGGCAAGGTGGCGGGCGCCTGTAGTCCCAGCTACTTGGGAGGCTGAGGCTGGAGAATGGCGTAAGCCCGGGAGGCGGAGCTTGCAGTGAGCTGAGATCCGGCCACCGCACTCCAGCCTGGGCTACAGAGCGAGACTCCGTCTCAAAAAAAAAAAAAAAAAAAAAAAAAAAAAAAAAAAAAAAAGAAATATTTCCTTCAAAACAGTCACCCTTGCTTGCTCTCAGTTTATTTATTTCAACACTCTCAGTTGCAGGGATAAGTAGAGTGGTGAAAAGAGACCAGGGGTTTTAGACTCAAAGGCCTCCGGGGCCAGGCAGGTAAGTAGGATCAAGGAGCGCAAACAGCCAAGTGTGATGTAATGGGGTGGACTGGGGGCTGGAGTAAGAACTATGGGCTGCAGTAGCCGCTCACCTCCCGCCCGTTGTGCTAGATCTTTTTCAAGAGTGCCAGGAAATGTAGGTGTTTACATAAAATCTCTTGATTTTTAAATACTGCCAATAAATTGATTTTTTTTTTTTTTTTTTTGAGACAGAGTCTCACTTTGTCACTGAGGCTGGAGTGCAGTGGCACTGTGTCGGCTCACTGCAACCTCCGTCTCCTGGGTTCAAGCAATTCTCCTGCCTCAGCCTCCCGGGTAGCTGGGATTACAGGCATCCACCACCACCCCTGGCTAGTTTTTTAAAACATTTTTAGTAGAGACGAGGTTTCACCATGGTGGCTGGCTTTTTTTTTTTTTGTGAGACTGAGTCTAGCTCTGCCACCCAGGCTGGAATGCAATGGCACGATCTCGGCTCACTGCAACCTCTGCCTCCCAGGTTCAAACGATTCTCCTGCCTCAGCCTCCTGAGTAGCTGGGATTACAGGCACACACCACCACACCCAGATAATTTTTGTATTTTTAGTAGAGATGAGGTTTTACTGTTTTGGCCAGGCTGGTCTCGAACTCCTGACCTCGTGATCCGCATGCCTTGGTCTCCCAAAGTGCTGGGATTACAAGCGTGAGCCACTATTCCCAACATGGCTGGTCTTGAACTCCTGACCTCAGGTGATCCACTTGCCTCGGCCTCCCAAAGTGCTGGGATTACAGGAATGAATTGAAGTTTTGATAAAACGCTGTGCAAGCCAGAGAAAAATATGCATGCCCATGGACTGCTGGTTTATGTCCCCGACAGTCAGGGTCACTGCCCTTGTGGAGTTGAAGGCCAGTGGGAGAGAGAGCCACTAAACAAATAATAAGATAATGAGGCTGGGTGCTATGGCTTAGGCCTGTAATCCCAGCACTTTGAGAGGCTGAGGTGGGTGGATCACCTGAGGTCAGGAGTTCAAGAACAGCCTGGCCAATATGGTGAAACCCTGTCTCTACTAAAAATACAAAAATTAGCTGAGTGTGGTGGCGCATGCCCGTAGTCCCAGCTACTCAGAAGGCTGAGGCATGATAATTGTTTGAACCCGGGAAGAGGAGGCTGCAGTGAGCCGAGATGGCGCCATTGCATTCCAGCCTGGGCGACAGAGCAAGACTCTGTCTCAGAAAAAAAGATAATGACAGATTGTGAGAGGTGCCAAAAAGGAGATAAACAGGGTGATGTGACAGGGCCAGCCTCCTTCAGATGGGGTGGTCAGAGAAGGCCTCTGGGGAGGCAGCATTCCAGCTGACGGAGGGTAGGAAGGAGTCCATTGTGGGACAGGGCACGTGCCTGCCAGAGGAAAAACTCTGTAGGAGGAGATGCTAGGTGTACCTGATATATATGTGTGTGTGTGTGTGTGTGTGTGTATATATATATTTGTGTGTATATATGTATTTGTGTGTATATATATATTTGAGAGTGTGTGTGTATATATATATTTGCGTATTTGCGTGTGTGTGTGTGTGTGTGTGTGTATATAGACAAAGTCTCACTCTGTCACCCAGACTGGCTGGAATGCAGTGGCATGATCATGGCTTACTGCAGCCTCAACCTACGGAGCTTAAGCGATCCCCCTGCCTTGGCCTCCCAAAGTGCTGGGATTACAGGCAGGAGCCCATGTGCCTGGCCTGATACTTTGTTTTGATTCTATATTTACTAAGTAAACTTGATTAATAGTTTGGTCTCCTTGACATCAGGAGGGAGGAACCATGGCTAGGTCATGGGCATCCCAGTCTCATGGTCATACCCGTTTGAGAAGCTAAGGACCCAGCCTGCCAACTTGGGAACCTTTATACTGACAGACTTGGTTCTGCTGGAAAGGGTTTGGGGAGAGAGTTTGAATGAATGAATTGGAACTGTCCTTCCCAGTGTGCACGCAATATTTTGTCATACTGAAATATTTTTTGAGACAGAATCTCGCTTTGTTGTCCAGGCTGTAGTGAAGTGGTGCGATCTCAGCTCACTGCAACCTTCGCCTCCTGAGTTCAAGCTATGCTTCTGCCTCAGCCTCCCGAGTACCTGAGATTGCAGGCAGGTGCCACCATGCCTGGCTAATTTTTGTATTTTTGGTAGAGATGGGTTTTACCACGTTGCCCAGGCTGGTCTTGAACTCCTGACCTCAAGTGATCTGCCCGCCTCGGCCTCCCAAAGTGTTGGGATTACAGGCGTGAGCCACCACACCCAGCCACAACTCAGTTCTTTTTTTTTTTTTTTCCCGAGACAGGGTCTGGCTTTGTCACTTAGGCTGGAGTGCAGTGGTGCCATTATAGCTTACTGCAGACTTGAACTCCTAGGCTCAAGTGATCTTCTGCCTCAGCCTCCTGAGTACCTGGGACTACAGCATGCGCCACTATGGCCAGCTAATTTTTAAAATTGTTGGTAGAGTTGAGGTCTCACTATGTTGCCCAGGCTGGTCTTGAACTCCTAGACTCAAGTAATCCTTTACCTCGGCCTCCCAAAGTGCTGGGATGAGCCACCACATCAGGCCTGAGACTCAGTTCTTGACTTGCCACCAGCTTTGTGGGTGACCTGGTTTACCTCTTGGCTTCAGTCGTATGTCCTGTAAAAGGAGCCCTGGGTGATCTCTTCCTGGGTCTAAAGTCTGAAGCGCTGTTCTCCCAAGTTGGGAGCATTTCCAGAAGGGTCTTCCAAAGTCCACCTTCCAGTGTGGGAGTTTACCGCAGCCCCAGGAGCCTGAGGAGTAATCATGGAGGCAGGAGTAATTAGTTTGAAAGTGACATGTGTGCCTGCTGTTAATGCTGGCTTCTTTATTACTGTGCTCTGAGGTGCTGTCACCTGGGCAGCCAAGGGCAGGGTACAAAGCACAGGCTCTGGAGTGTCTGTATCTGAATATCTTCTCCATCTTGTTGCCCAGGCAATTTGGCCCCTCTCAGCCTGCATTTTCTCCTCTGTACGACAGAGACAGTAATGCCCTTCTCATAGGCTGTTAAGGGGATTTAAAGAGGAGACTATGTACAGCTGGATAAAAATGTACAGTTATGAAACCACTAAACAGATTATGCCAGTTTCCCAGAGGAGAAGGGAGAGAGAGAGCCTCCGAGAGCAGTGGGGGACAGGAGGGAGCCCCTTTGAATGAGGATGAGATGGAGGTGGGCACCTCTCCATGATGATCTCCTTGGGATGTGACAAGGGCATGGCTGTGTGGGACACCTTGGGACCCTTGACCTCAATAAGATTCTCCAAGGCCGCCAGCGTGGCACAGAAGCAGCAGAATCTCCCTCCAGGAAGGGATTGCATCCTCTGAGAAAATAGACATCTCCATGGTAACCAAGGCAGATAGATGATCTGGTCCAGGGGCTCCTTGTAGCTCTGGTGCTCTAGAAAACCCCGTGAGTGAGAGAGAATCCTGGGGAGGGCTGGAGCCCCTGTCATATCCAAGGCTGGATTTCTGAGCAGCCCAGTGGGATGTTAATTGGCAAGGATCTCACTTGATTTAAAGAAAGTCCAATTAATGCCATATTTCTTGCATTCCTTATTTGGGACCTACCACCCACGTACATAAGTGACTAGAATAGTTCCCCCTCCCCTGCTCCCATGCACATAGACGGTTCCAGTGAATGAAGGCTGCTATTCTTTCCACTTGGAGAAGGAGGGAGACCCGTGCCTGCTGCAGCTTGATCTGCAGCCTGCACAGGGTAATGATGAGATGTGCAGGTCAGGCATCAGCCGGGGTTCTGCTGGCAATACATCACTTCTTCATTTATTTTTATTTATTTATTTATTTTTTGAG